TCCTTACAAACGGTTTTTTCGAATTCCTTGCTTCAGAGTAAGCAACTCAGGGAAGCCAATGAGCAAATCGATAGACTGGAGAAAGAAGTGAGACTTTTGAGAGTAATGCAGGTAAAGCTATCAATACATGTATGAAAGAGTAAAAGAACATGTTTTCTAGACGCGAGACTCCGGCAAGACGGCCGACCGTTAAAATGCCTGACAGTATGGTCGAACTACGATTATCTAACATATGCATTGTCGTTTATCCCAATGACACAACGTTTTAAATCCTTTTTGGTATTCTGCTCTAGCAAAAAGATGATCAACGATCTCAAATTGAAATCTCCGAGACTGTAGCTTTGCTGAAAAAGCAGTTGGAAGAGAAGGTAGGCCAACAAACATATACTCAATAACAAATACAGTTTATACGCTCGCTCACTCTCATTAACTATCCAAATCATCGATAGCCAAAAATCTAAAATTCTCTATTCAAGGGAAAACACTAAGCCCTAGTTACTCTCGTAGTACATTAAATGAATATAATTCCACGACAATACCAATTCTTAGAATGAAGACATCAAGCTCCTACAAGGAAAAATTGAAAAGCAAGACAAGGTAAATGGAGCATTTCATGTCTTCCCTCTCCATTTGATTGAACTGACGAGATCAATTTTCACGAGTTTTATGTTGATGCTCATTTCACTCATGTTAAATTGCATCTTTAGCCATCCAAAACCGCTCGTGAGTCCTTCTCTGAAAAAAAACTAGCGACACCAAAAGTAATCACTCCACAACCACCTGCAGTGGTTCCCGAAACCCCAAAACAGCCTCGAAGCATTCTGAAACAAAAGGAGGTCAGTCAAAAGAAGAGGAGAGTGGTGTTTGCTGGCTCAGATGAACTACATTTCTCTTCATCAGAAGAAGAAGAGAACGAGTTAAGCCTAACAAAGGTTATTTCTTTTTTACTTTGAGCTATGACTGTATATTTTTAATTAAACTGATAGACAAATCTCTTTCAGTGTTGCTTTTTCCCTTCATAGATTGGAACCAAAGGCTCTAAGTCTGATACAAAAGAAACCAGCGAAAAGGAAAATAAGAAGACCACTCCACGAGCTAATGTTCGATTTTCTCCAAAGCCGTCACCTTGGAAAAATGAACTCTCTGGGGAATCAAAGTCTCCATTTACAGAAGTGCAGAAACTAAAACAAATTCCTCGTGGAAAGCCTATAGCTCAACAAAAACAGAAGAAGGTGCTAAGAAGTACATATTATTTTTCTGGTACACAGTAAGATTAACTAGTATTTATACTTAAAACATTTCAGAAAAACATGGCTTGTAAAACCACATTAAAAGTTACTTCGAACTCAGTCTTCGACCGCCCTCTACATTTCTCTTAGATAATGAACTTGTGGTCATGATAAAAAAAAACGTCTTTCCTAATTCCAAATGATTGTCACTTTAAAACTGATTTCAAGTTTACCGGTACCTAGGATTCCTTATTTAATCTATTGTGTTTTCTTCAATTAGATGAAAATCCAAAGCGAAGAAACTGAGGAAATGGCCAAGTTTAAGGAGTTGTTTCCGGATATGAGCAGTCCTGATTCTCTATATGACAAATCTCCGGTAAAGTAATACGATTATCATTATCATTATCATCATCATCACCATTATTATTATTATTTGGAATTTTAAACCGTCTCGAGTCGGGTCGAATGTTGTTCAATTCCTAAGCAAAAAACACCTCGCCATAGCAAGATTACTTTGGAAAGACCATATTTGTGAGCAGAATAATTTTGACACAAATATTGTCGGTTTGGTTCTGAGGACTTTATTGACGGGTATGACACGAGTATTGCCGGTTTAGTTCTGATGACTATATTGATGGATATGAAGGTTTTTTAAAAAAACTATACCTGCACCGGCATTTAATAACTGTACATAAAACGGGATATGTTGTAACTTTTACTTTGCCTTACAGGGCAAAGGGCGTGGTTTACGCCAAACTACTAGACCACCATTCAAGAGTAAAATAACAAAGATTAAACCAATATCAAGAAAGAAAGACAATCAAGAGAGCACTTCTTGGTTTGACTCTGATTCACTCTTTGGATTTGGAATGGAGGGCGAATAAAATTTCCGCGTACCAGTTACTTTGGTTTGGTTTCCTTGTTTCTTTGGGCCACTAGTTTCAGCAAGTCAAATGATGCTCTTTATCACTAATCCGAAACAAAGACGCAAACTGAACGGAACAACTCATGAGTTATGCACTTGTCACCAGCTGGTACACTTGTCTCCAGTTAGTTGATCCTGGTGCAGTTGGTGTGCATCTATTGTGGTTAGAAGATATTTGTATCTACTTGGCCTTCGGATTATGCGATAAACAGCAGGGAATTAAAACTTGAGTGTGTATAAGTCTACCATGTGATTGATGCGTTTATAACTAATAAAAAAGAATATTCTAGCAAGACAATGGAATGTGAGCCTTTAACCAACGCTGGCTTGGGCAATGAAAAGAGTATGTTTTGCAAGGTTTGCCAAAACATTCTCTTTCAGTAAAACATTATTGGGAACTATTTCAGGAAATACAAACAAAGAGGACGGTTTAACACTCCTCACATTGTCAGTTTATTCTTAAAAAGAATCCAAACTGTGTAGATGTGATAAAACAAAAGCATATGCTGGCGTATAGTAATAGTTTTTAGCCCAGCGTATTAAGATTATAACACAACTTACAAACATGAGCCATTTTTACACATATATTGTAACACTTCCACCCATTTTCGTAGATTAAAGCATACACGGTAATGGTTTAAAACAAACTACGAATAACGGTCTAGAACCTATGTGTACCTTCTACTGATAACTACGGCGTTTGCTTATAAAGGAGATCCCTTCACTTTCGCTTACCCTACACTGCCATTTTCATTCTTTACTGAATAAACCTCAGGCAGCTCTAGTTTTGAGGAGTATTATATTGGTTTACAACACTGAGAGTCAACGCGCGCATTGCAAAGCATATCTATGGATTATATAATCGGGTCCAGCTCAAGCACGTGTGTAGCTGAGTTTATTCCATATGCCACGATCGATACTTGCTTCTTGACTTCCTCTGGGGAACCTAAACCTTTCCGGGCACGATAAATGGCGTCCACGACTCCGCCGTACCACTTGTACCTAATGGTCGGGCTGTGTGTCAAAACCACATGCCTGTAATGGAACATTTCAAATAGTGTCAATAAGTGTCACCTGTAAAAATGCGTAGAGATTGACAAAAGAACAAAAAGGCGTTGATGACAAAATTTCTTTTCATGAAAAAAAATGTGCATGTTCAAATAAGGACGCTCACGGATAAATTCAATTCAGTCGGTAGAATTTCTTCTCCAAATAGCCTTCCAAACACGGGCATTTTGACACAGGTAACGCATTGAACAAACGAAAATCACATATTATTCACTTACCGCTGCAATGGGTTGTCTGGTAGAATAGGTTCGAGGTTGATAAAAGCTCGTTCGACGTTGAGCAAACGGTTGTTGATTGTACGTAACACTGCATCACTGGCAAACAACAATTTAACAACAAAAAATACGTATAAGAATGGATGAGCGGAATACTCTAATTCGCTTAATGGTTGTGCCTCAAAAAGTGGATTTATCAAGCGATTTGTGAGCCGAATGGACGGTATTACGTTGAACTGCAAAAACGCGGGCAGCGGAAAGGTAAAAAAAGACAAACTCAAGTGTCCAACTCACGATCTTCTAAAAGAATTAACTCTAACAAGAGTTCTCTGTGCTGTAATGAACCCGTGACCTGTTCTCAGTATATATATATATTTCCGTTGAACCTGACAAAAGTATTTTCAGCGCTAGCCTTGATGGGCTGCCGGGCTTTGCCCTTTAAGGAGAAGGATAGTGCTTATTAGGCAGGGTGGCGTTTATTGGGAATTACGTTATTAAATAAGTTGCTGGAATCGGAGCAAAATTATAATATACTCGGCTGCATTTAAAAAGGGACCTACTTACTCTTTTCTGTCTGCTTTCTTCACGAACTCATCAAAGTTCTTAGCAGTTTCTTGGAATTTTTCGACAGCTTGGTCAAGATAGTCTGCAATATGATGTGAAAACGCCAGTTATAACAGTTCTATAGAAAACTATTATTCTGAACAATATTACTATGAACTCTTCATGAATATTTGGTATCCGGTTAGCCTGCGAATGCAACCGTTTCTCAATACTCTCCGCGTTTTTCCCTGCCGCTACAGACGAAAAAAAATACAATTTAAATCCCAAAGTTCCATACGCAGATCCTTTTAGAATCTGGTTAGGATTAATGATTGTTTTAACCGCCCGTGCGAATAATGTCCCTTATAACCATACCAGAATGAGCACGATTCAGCCGAGAAGGCCGGAGAAAAAGAAAAAAAACATGTAACTTTTACCCGAAAATTCACATTAACATCTTGTGCCACAATCCACCTACATTTTATTCAATCTAATCCTAAGATCCTAAAAGCTTTTCAGACAACTTTTCCCACCAAATGAAGCCTAGCAACGCCCAAGCTAGGCGAGAAATCACAAAGTGAAAGTCAAGATTGCAGAGGCACTTTTATGCCGAAAAACTGTCTTTACATTTTGCTTTCTGTGCATTGCCGAACTTTGGAAGCTGATATTTTGATTCTGAAACAGAAGGCCATGAACTGAGTGCCCGAACTATAAATGGCATTTTTGGCGGTTTTGGCTCATTATAACCAGAAACCTGCTCGACTAGCTTCAAAAGACGATTTTCGGCAAAATGCCAAGGAGCGAAAGGGTTGACTTAGAAAAAAAATACAAGAACTAACCCAACTCCCTAGTGGCGTTGTAATTGCTGAAATCACTCCCAAAGTCCTTCCTGATACGTCTGTTGTATTCCTTCATATTGACACCATAGTGTGTCACGTTAAATGGTAGAATATCGTCATCCGCCAAGGTCATTGTTATTTCGGTCCATACCCTTGTGGTCACTTGATGGTATTTCTTGAGTCCTAGTTAGTTTAAACAGTAGGTGGTTTTCAACAGCACTTGACAATGGTATAAGGGATTGCCGCTCGTTTTCTGTGTACGAAAACTCAGGGTCAGATTTAATTCAACTGAATAACAACGAAGTTCCCAAGAGTCACACGAAACATGGAAATGCCAACTTACAGAGTCGTATGTGTAGCGAATATCCACGATAGGGATTCCAAGACGCTGGATAAAGTTGACATAATCACTGCCTGCTGTTGGTTGTTGAAGCCTAAAATAAGTAAAGAGAGCATCCAGCTTCAAATATTGTTGGTCACAACATTGCACATTAGTGGCTGTTAGGGGCTGCAGGAATTCACTTAACTACAATAGAAATGAGATAGATTTTCCAGATACCGGCGTGGTGTAACAGTGGTGGGCGTCGTGTTAAAGCCAAATGGAAGTACTAAGCTATGCTTTAAGGTTCACGAAACAAACGAAATAACGACACAACCACTTGAAAAAGATAAAATGCTCATCAAACAAATGGAATGCGACCTGGGAACTGACAGGATCCTCTAACCACTTAGCTCTGGATAAAGAGCTAGCTAGACCACCTAAAATATAAAAAAAGTATTTTGGCAACACTGATACCTGGGTAAATAGTTGAAACCCATTATTGATGGGATTTTCCTTTTCCATTCTTCAAAAGCGGTCTCGTTTCCTAAGGGACTACGAACCTACCAAATGTGAGCAAAGATAGAGAAATATATATTGGAGATGGTTAATAATGTTTTAGCCCACGCTATGCAGAAAAAAAGTGTCGAGAAAAATAATCCCTACTGACCTTCCGCGCTCCTCTGGCCAGTACCCAGTTAAGAAGAGGCGTAGATTTAGCATGGAAAGAGTAGTTTCCTTGAAAAAACATCAAAAGCAAAACGATTTGCTTAATTAACTGGTAATAAAACCTCGCATTTTTCAAATGGATAATAGGCAAATATTGAGGTTAAAGACTTCTCTTAACGAGTAATTTATATTTCTTGTCATAGCCTTACCGTCAACTGCCATATCGACATTGAGATAGGCTACACCACGAGCGGACAGCAAACGAGAATACTCCTAGAGATAAAGAGAGAAAAAAGAAGGGCTATATTTATCAGTTGCTTTCAGTCAGTCAGTCATTCAATCAATCAAATAGCATTCAACCCAATTCCGGTGGCATACATGGCTTAAGTTTGGTTTTCGCTCTTATCTTGTGTCCAATCAAAAGTGTCCAATTAAAATTGCTTGTTTTACAGTACTTACTTCTATCCACTCAACCGATCCCATATATTGAGGCTCCTCTGCTCCCCAGCTTAACAACACTATGGTGCGCTTTGACCTCCATCCTAAAGATAGATTGACTGGTTAGCTAAGATCCTGTATCACTATGGGACATAGTGCCGTACATCTGGACAATGTAAAGCATGCGCAATGTAATATTTTTAAAGTCGTTTTTGGTTAGCATTGTGCTTTGACCACTGCATGGCATACCTTTCTTCAACTGCTCCCCGAGGACTCTAGACAGCTCCATCATAGCAGCTGTTCCACTGGAAGCATCTGCTGCACCAAATACCCAAGCATCACGATGGTTCCCTAACATCACCAGCTCGTCTTGAAAGGAATGTTGAAACTATTAGCTAAACGTATCAATTGTGCAAGAGTACTACTATTGCAGTTGAGTGAGAAGATGACTCACATTACCGTACTCGCGCAGTCTAAATAGTTTTAACACAACTGAGTGTTGCATACTCCTTAGTGTCTAACAAGACTATGAGGGAAACCTAGTTGTTCACCCGAGTACCCAACGGGAAGATAAACAGCCCTTAGATATTCGAGAATCAGCACAGCCTTGTTAAAAAATGAGAACAACAACAGCTGGTAAACTTGTAATGCGTTCATATGGAGAGTCATTTCCTTTCCTTGAACCAGTTCTCCCGAAAGTTTGTTATTACCCCCTAGGGCTTTTGCCATAACGTGTCAAGCTTAAAGGTCCCCAGCGTAATGTCATCTGAACGAATTTGCCTAGTCCCTAAGCCGAAAGGGTTTTAAGGCCTTGGACCACGTGGTTAGAGCGAATTTGTAACGATCGTCTCGGCTACTTCAACGAAATGACCGAAAGGAACTTGAATAACAGTGAGATATTAGCAATCAGCCATGCGTATGATTGGTGTTCACGGCACGCATCTCAGATACCAACCTGGATGTGTGGAGCCTTTAATTACGCCCACGACGTTGTAAACATCTGCCGGATAGTTTTCATTGCTGACGTTCAAGAGGACCTCTCTGAAAGAATCAATACAAATGAAAAAATGATCAGAGAATAAATTTTGATCCCTCGTTCGTTTTGCGCCAACGAGTCAGTCCCAAAACAAATATAAAGAGCGGCTAGACCGGATCGCCCATATTGATAAGCCACCTTCTTATCACTGCTCTATGAAACGTCGGTTTCTTGGGATGTTGTGACTACCTTAACCTAGACTACTGTCTCTCCTCCTTCATAAAATTCTTTTTGAGCCCTGATTAGCTTCATTGGAAGGGGCTGCTACGATTCCAACCCCCGATTCATCGTTCTCGTGAAGTACAGTGCGTTCAGTTGAGCGTTAGGCAAAACGACAGGAGTTAATCTTGTTATCCTGAACGCTGTAGATAAGAAGCTGATGAGCCAATCAGTAACCACATTCAGCTTGGTGCTATGTATAAACGCGGACCATTTGAAAAATTGACTCAAGAAGTGAAATCCAACAGCATACCAAAAACGTCAAAACAAAAAATTAAAGTTATTAGGAGTGTCTATTGCGATTCCCTCACCTAGTGTCGTTATCAGCCATCTGGATACCATAAGTAAAGTTCAGACCTCCTTGAAAATCTTCGGCCGGAAGGCCACCAACTAAGGTTCTAAAATAATTTTAATAAAGCACAATTCAGTACCTGTAATTTCCAGTATGGAAGACCGAAAATGAATGATACGTCATGGAGAGAACCAATTGTAGGAGAGCTACTTGAGGTGGCCACTGTTAACGGGTGAAGTAAGAAAATTAGCGCGAAAATTTGCGAGTCAAGGAAGGAAAGAGAGCATCATTTCTCTCTTCTTCTTCTTTTTCTTCAGTCTCAGCACATTAATTTTCTCGTTCATCCTTTTCTTTTCGCTCAGTGCAACTGATCGGGGAACTAGGTCATGCACCTCTAAAATCAGCAGCTCAACCAAACCAGACAGTGATTCCTCGTGCTATTTAAGATTCGTCTTCTGGTTTATGTGTTCGCTTTGATATCAGGTTGAAAACGAAATTAAAAGTACTTGATTTCGGTGGTTTCCATCTAAAGGGAATGAAGGGCATACATCAAAAGACAGGGCTCGTCAACTTCTCTGGGGAGACACTTCGAATAAAGGAGACATGTTGGTCCAAGTTTGCACCGCAAATCGCACGCTCACCAAAACTTGAAATTCCCGGCGATAAAGAAGCTGATGTTACACGAGACGATTCGCAACGACGATTTTGAGCGCAACACTGAGTTACAATATTGGAACATTGCTGCAACTGTTCGAAACAACGTCGCAACATTGTTATAAGACTGTGTTGCGCTAAAATCGTCGTTGCGAATCGTTCCATGTAACATCACCTTAAGCCAAGGCAAAGAGATTATTCCTTTCGGCTGGAGACTGGCACATGTTTTCCCACCATGCTAGATTGATTCCCCGGAGCCAACAAAGGTAGCGCCACATATAATTATCTGCCTTTATATGTCACCTTACACTAACGGTTTTCTGTGTAAACCTTCTTCTGCTTGAGCTTGTGTGGATAGTGACAATCACGCTTTATGAGGCGCCGTTGTATGCTTGACACCGGCCAAACAATACTAGTATGATGTAACGTGTATCGCTCTTCAACTTACTACTCATAAACCTTACTCAAGAACTTACCGCAGCAGCGGCTCGGCATCCTTGTATGATATAGGATGAGTTGGGATCTGAGGAAGCAGTTTCTCGGCTTCTTCTTTAGGTAAACGATACATACCCTCTACAACAGGCAATGAATCTCCTTTTAACAGATTTCTGGGTTCAAAAAATAGTCCTTGTCCTTATTCCTTTGGCCATGATATTAACAAGTTTGACTGGGATAATTTCTAATGCATTTAAGGTACTATTGCCCTCTTAATCTTCCACTGGTATAACACAACAGATTTATACACAAAGAATGTACAGCAAAAAGGACATCTGTCGCACTTGAAAACTGGCCCTAAACGTCGGCTATTACATCTGATTTCTTTACCAATCGGTCCAAATTTGGGCCACCTTAAGATAGTATGTAAACTTGTTTTTGAACACGCGTGTTTTGTAAAAGCGCCGCGCTCTCTTTCCTAACCCAGTTGTTTCAAGGTCAGCTGGCACTAACCCTGAGTGAATCATTAACCATCGTTCAAATTTGCGTTGCCATTGGCAGTTTAATCAGGTCCTTTTGAGTTAAAATAACGGGTCTGATCAGTTCATTCAAAGTGACGCGGTTTATTCGGAAAATCGTTGTATCGAATGGCTGGCCTTTTTCTTCAAAAACAATAATTAACTGCCCTTTCCTAATACAAAGTAAGTCAAAACATAGACCTCTTACTAATTACAAGTATGAGTATTGTCGTACCGACAGATGGGAAGCCGGGAGTCTGTGGATCTCCATGTATTGGGGTTGATTTGATACTACCCCGTTGCACTCCAGTACTCGGCATCCAGTTATTTTCTGGGTAAACCTTATCGACACCTTTCTTCGCGTACTCTTGGGGATCCATATAAAAATCGCTCCAATGGCACCTAACGCCTGAGCTCTTTTGTTCTGAAAGATAACAATATACAGAAATCTTAAGCACATCAAGTGTGCGAATACCAGCAGGCGACGCCCATTTCTTTTGGTGATCACACCTAATCATAGCTGATGTACTATATGCTCTGGGTTGTGTTACAATAGGGCAAAAAAAATTAAGAAGAAGTTTTTAAATAGGCGAGTGTCACATTAAAGAAACTCATCAACAGTTTTGACTGTTATCTAGAAGTGACCTAGTTAAGTTTAGCCTTATCCTTAAACCCTTTCGTCTCAGAAACAAGGAGGAAAGAAAAAGAAAAAACGGAAGACAGAGAAGAAAGGAAATATAGTGCTGCTATCCAGAAACTCTGACTCTATTGAATTCGCAGTTACTTAAAATCTTCCCTTTTTACAATTCTGCTGCCTTCAAATGCAACGGCTTTGATCGCTTCCGGCCTCGGCAGAGCAAAAAGGCCACCTGTATTCGCAGTCTACCTGACCTTTGCAGGGCGGCCAATGTTTTCGTATCGCATGATCACGATTTTTCCAGAGCAGCCAATATTACTCTTCTTCAAAGCTTCAAAGTCCTTTTCACGCCCATAATTAGCGTACAGAAGTTTCCCCTGAAAGACAAAACAAGCAACAAAATGAACAAACCCATGTCTGTGTGGTTACGTTATTCAACCCAATTAAATTGATGAGCAAATTGAATTGCCTATAAGCCATAAGAATAGCTTCAATCTTTCAAAATGAAAAAAAGACTGTTTTTTAATCCCGGATCAGTGGGCTCTTTTCAGCCTAGTATCATATATTTGAAATATTCCACGCTGAGGAGCAAGCAAATTAATGGAACAATTAATGGGTCATCCGTTCAAATTTTGATTGCCTTTCTTTACAAGGTCTGAGTGAAATGTTTGCCCTCCAACATGACAAACGTTTTATCATTTGATGGCAAGGGTTCCCTTTTCCCTGGCTGATCGCTTTACTCGCCTGTGAGACATGACAGTGAATAATAGCGGGAACGGGCAGAAGGAATCACAACGAAAAAGCAACCGTCCAGCTCCTCAGGACAACGATTTAACATGCCCAGCCACAAGAAGTCGTACTTAATGGGTTACTTCAGTTCCAGTCATTGTTAGTTAATCCATGCTTTAATCTGACGTTCTTCTCTGATAGGTTACCTCAGCGTAGATGTGTGGTAACGATTTTGAAATAATGGAACATTAAATTAAAACCGAGGATTACCTTGATGCAATCCCATCTTATAGACCGCTAGCGGTCACATCTGCTTTGATGAGCTTATGACCTTTGCAGATTATAAAATTAGCATCAGAATTAGAATAAGTCTGATTTGTCTGAAAAAGGACTGCTACCACTCTAGCAACCCCATACTTTTTACAACGTTAACTTTTCTTAGGGAAAAAGGTCTGAAATTCCTTAGACTTGAAATTGAGTATCTTATTTTTTTACCTTGACGCTTCCTGGTGGAGAGTACGCATTAAAAGGTGGCACAACGTTGCTGTTGTTCTCTGATGGAACAAGAAATGTCTCTTGAGGAGCTGACCGGTAAATCTCCTGCCCAGAGCTGTCGTACAAAGCTACAACACCAGGCTTTGTGGGGCGTGAAAGCATTATAATGTATTTCTTCAATGTAGCGCTGTCGAAGCCATATTCCTTCCATTTCTTCTGAATGGTCTTTGCCAAGTCAAGGTTCACTGGGTCTCCAGGAAAGTGAGGAACTTTAGTGAAGTACCTGCAATTTAAATTGACATTTTTACGTGGGTCGTCTTTCTTTTCCAGGGCAATTGATAGGTCCATGTCAATGAAAGCTATCAGGAAAAACCCTCCTTAGAACTTCATCAAGCGTTCCTCCCCAAGACGTCTGCCCAAAGGAAAAGCCACGTCCTTTCGCAGAGTTTGGCCAATCCCAGTTCCTTTTCCGCTTTTTTCGAGTTTGTATTTGCGAACAAGCTGTCTGGGGAGCTCTGGAGGAGGGGACAACAAAAGGTCCCCCTCTGAGACTAGGGTGAGTCGCACAACGAAATCCTAAAAATTTTGATGTCTAATCCTGTGGTATAAAATTGTCCCTAAGTGGGTGTAAAACCATTTTTGCGTGATATCCTGCAGCATTATTTCAAACAGCTCAAATACTTCGCCCCAGAAGAAACCGACTGCCGCATACCGGAATGATGCCAGCCGAGAAACGTACCTATATGAAATATAGGAAATGACGATTTGCTCAAGAATCGCACCTGAACGATATAACGTTGGACGGGTGCTGTACGCTATTAGGATAAAGTGAGATGCCATCAAACTGCCCCCCTCCCCCTCCGCCCCCCGCCAAGAAAAAAATGACAAAGATGTTAACTAAATGTGTGAGTTATCTGTGCTGCTCATCGGCTTCAGAACTAGTTGGACTGTTCAGACGAGCGTGACCTTTCTGTTGAAAATGGTGATGATTTGTTAGCGACAGACCTTCTAGACCGGAAAGGCCCTTGGCAGTACAGTACCGCTCGGTTAAGTATATAAACAAACTCCAACTCTAATGCTTTCGCTACTTCGCTGTTACGTTTCAGTCATTTCATTCAAGCAATTTTGCTTCGCTTTATTGCACACCCTTCTTTTCTTTTTCTCATAGTGGAGTCATACTTCACTAACGGACACCTCTATATGGGGTGTGTTTTTTTTGCCTAAAGCCCCGAAGCACTTAACAAGGGACGCTTGGGTAGAGGTGTGCCGTCGTGGCCTTTGAAATAGGTCCCTGTTTAAGACAAAAGTCGTTTCATTTCGCACACAGAATTAAGTCTTCGCCAACTTTCACACTCTTTAAAAGACGTCCACAACAAAAAGACAACCTGCTCAAGACACTAGATAGTGAAATTGTATACCGTAAAATTCCGAGAATAAGCCCCTCCATGTATAAGCGAATCCAAACATAAGCCCCCCCCAAAAAACCCTCCGTTAAATCGCCCCCCCAAATATAAGCCCCCCGGGTGCTTGTACTTGGAAATTGCCCTCAAAAACAAAGTAAAACAGAGCCAAAACGGTAAATTTTCTTCCAACTATAAGGCTAGCCCATTCGATTTTGAAACGCAAATTTCCCTCCGTAGATAAGCGCCTCCAAAAATAAGCCCCTCAAAAAGGGCCTTTGAAAAATGTAAGCCTCGGGGCTTATTTTCGGAATTTTACGGTATTCTGTTTGAGACTCACGACCCTGAAAACCATACCCTGTTCATCAGCACATATTCTTTTAAGCTAAATAAAGGAGTGCACCACGGGCTCCAAGGATCAATCTACAGTACGGACACCTCCATATTACTGACACTTGGCTCTTTACCCTTAATGACCTTGATCTTATAGGCGAATCTTTTTTAAACTTTTAGCCTCGTTAACATATGCTTATCACTATCTGATGATGCTAATAAAATAAAAACTCTGAATATTGAAAGGGCATAACAGTTTCAGTTATCTCTGAAAATTTTGAGCCCAGTACACCGAACAGTTTCGGAGAAATTCTCTTCTAAAAACTCAAAATTTTACAGAGAATGTATGGCTCATTAACCTTTTTTGCCACACAGAAATTTCACAGTTTTTGATGGCTGATATTTCCTTCAATATTGCTTGTATAGAGCTAAAAATTGCACAAATTGCTCAATTTAATCAGATCTTTCATCTTTTGCATTTAGTTTATATATACAGCCACGGCTTCTTTGAGTTAAGTCGTATGCTAATGAGGAAAAATGTAAACAATGACGTCAGCAAAGATTCGCCTATAAATCTTGTAGGCGCTGAATAGTGCCAGTTCAGTAAAGCTCACGTGAAGTGGTGATTTTGGTCATGCTTGAAACATGTAGTCAGTCAAGGTAAAGTGGGCACATATAATGAAAGTCAAAATAAGATCCTCATAAGGTTGACTTGGAGGTGCTTGACAGACCACAGCCACCCAGTGACAGTAACTGCTCTATTGTGAAACACGTAATGGGTGTTGTTATGGGTGAAGCTCCTTCAGAAAATTAACCAAAACGTCGGCTTTGAATTTGCGACAACTTCCAGTAGCGAATGGAACAGCATTTTCCAAAATTTCTAAAACAGAGGTCAACCGCGAAAGGTATACCCAAATTTTCGAAAGAATTTTCCCGGAAGTTTTCTTTCCATTCCACTTTGCCCCTGGAATTGCCAGAATTTTCAGTTGAAAGGTTCGCATTTCGGAAATTCAATAGTTTCCAGAATTTCAGGAAACTTTCGGGGAAATTCCTGTACCATTTGCCACTGTTTCCAATTTTTCAATAGCCTGCGAATACAGCCGTTTCTCCTTGCTCCTCGCCGCTAGGAACCTTTCGGCGAGGAGCAAGGAGAAACCTCTGAAAAGCGAGCGCTTTTTGGCGACAAAAAAGGATTAAAGTCTAGCTTTAACTAGCTAAAAATTTTTTATTCGCGATATTTTTGACCAACTATTTGCATTTTACGAAAACAATTATTCCTCTCGCCCTAATGGCCTCTGAGTCAATAGCCCATTCGCCCATTCGGGCTCGAGGAATAATTGTTAAATAGTGCATGCATGTATAGTAACGAAAAGATGCTGTTTATAACGATTGTATTCCTTGAATTTGTTACTACTCGCAGGAAAATTTTCATTGTTTTGAAGCAAAGGCACTTTCGTCATTCACCAACCCAAAATTCTGCCGGAAGAAAGGCCGTGCAAAATCAAGCCGGAGTTGGCGAACCTTAGGGAAATGACTACTAAGTTATTTTAAACTTAACTGAAGTATTTAAGAGACAGTGACATAAGTGTTAAGTATAATTTTTTATCTCGATATATTACTAACCGCAGTTTAATGGTATTTTAGTAGTTTATAACTGTAACACTCAAAGTTAAATAATTTCTTACTGGACATCTACATGAGATCAGCATTATTATAATGGCAGAAAGGTATTTTAAGAAGGCATATAAGAAAAGCTGAATTTCGACAGAATGTTGTAATAGTTGCA